ATGTTGTGGGAGTTTTGGCATGTTGTGCACATGCAGGGTTGGTGCAAAAAGGTTTGGATTTGTTTGCTTTGATGACTACAAAGTATCAAATTGAACCAAAACTTGAACATTATGGATCGATGGTTGATTTTCTTAGGCGCGGTGGACGTGTGAAGGAAGCTCACGATTTAATTCACACCATGCCTATGAACCCTAATGCTACTATCTGGGGTGCATTGCTAAGTGCTTGTCGTACTCATGATAACATGGAGCTTGCAGAAAGTGCAGTAAATGAGCTTATTGATCTTGAACCTTGGAATTCCGGTAATTATGTGATGTTGTCAAATGTTTATGCCAAAAGAGGGAAATGGGATGAAGTCGAGAAGGTGAGAGCGTTGATGCTGGAAAATAGAATCAACAAAGCACCAGGACAGAGCATGGTCGGATAGTTTTACAATATTGGTTAGTGAATTTGGCAATTGTGCACCATGAGTGGTGAATTCGAAATTATGACCCTTGTGGTGAGATATAAGTTAACACTCTGAGTTTGCAAAATAAAGCGATGAGTTGCAGAGTTGCACATGAGATTGATGTCTAGGAGCATCAGTGTTGGTCATGACTATTTAAATCCAGGGGAAAAATGAGGAGAATGAATGAAACTGGTATCCAAAAACAAATTGATTTGCAATTTTCTTGTCATTAAGGGTTATAATTCTGGTGTAATTCAATTTTTGCAACGAGTTGGTAAGGACATGTGAGAGAAAAATGTGAGTCACATGTGAAAAGAAAATTAGAACTGCTCTAGCTCATCCAGGAAAAACCTTTTTGTGCTTTAAATATCAATTCCCTTTGATCAAAACAGTAGGGGTGGTACAGCTTGCTCTGTTAATCACCAGTTATCTACTTATGTCTAGGGTAAATTACACCTTACCCTTGAACTATTATCATCCATAATGATTTTGTCTCCTTAAACTAAAAATTGTTATTTTTTCACATTAAATTATTAATTTGTATGAATGTGAACATTCTATTAATGATATGTTACATAAGCTAGTGAAAATTTAATATGTGTCTCGCATGTGACATTTTAAATATTATGATATGCTTGAAGTGACATTATTCTTCTCTTCCCATTTATCTCTCATTCTTGCTTTCTTCTGCCTACATTATGGCAATTACGACGATTGTCTTGGGTAGAAAAAAGGAGGAAAACGTTGATTCGATATTGTGAGTCATTCGATCAGAACACATTTTGTTTAAAAAATAATTAACGGACTACTTTCAAAATTATGCTATCTATTAATTATATTTCAAGCAAATGTGTTTTGATTAAGTAGTTCCAATATCGGATCGAACTGATTTTTAGTGTGCATGATCTTCTCAAAAAATCATACAAAATAAACAGTTTAAATTATCGAAACAGATCCAAAATGAGTTTATAGTGAGCCAAATAAAACCATCCAATTAAACTTTTTATCTGAAAATAATCCAATTCCTAAAAAATAAAATATATTATTTTTAACAAAAATGTTTAAGACCCCCTTTTTTTCCCACCCCCTTTGACCCCCTCTCTCTCTCATTGGTTGGATTTTTTTTTTTTTTTTTTCTCCACGTGTGTGGGTGGGGGGGGGGGGGTGGTGAGGGTGGTGATTGGAGGGGGTCTCCATCACTCCTCTATTTTTAAATAGATCTAAAGAGTGAGTTTGTATATCATTTTTTTTCTTCTCTAGAAAGTGGGTTTGGTATATCATTTTTTTTCTTCTCTAGAAAGTGGGTTTGTAAATAAAATATACTATTTTCTAATAAATTATTTTATTGACACATCAATGTGTCTAGAAAGTAAACTTGTATATAATTTTCGTTTCAGATAAGTATATAGTAATTATTGGATCACAAGTATATTTATAGGATCTATCCAAAACAAGTTGTTCAAAATGGACTTTTTCACTAATTTTCATTATTTCCTACTAAAACTCAAAAAAAAAAAAAATCACAATTTTTACAAATCAAAATTCTATCAAGAATATTAATATTATAAAACAAATCTACAAATTACAAAAAATCAATAATATTAAAAAATAATTAAAATTAAGTCAATTATTCACTATTTATCATTTGAAGACCTACAACTCCATAGGAATAACATTAACTATATATGGTATGTATAATTAACTTTAATTTACTACATCTATCAATTCAATGGTTGAAAAGTTTAAAAATTAACTGAATTTGTCACTTAATTGTGCAAAAATAACTAGTTATGCTATAATAAAAAAATGACTTTGTCAAAGCCATTTTAACTTTGGTAACTAGATAAGTTCTAAATTGGATTTTGGGTTTTCAATAATATATAGGCCATGTTTGTTTGGGTGGACTGAACTAGATTGGATTAGCATTTCCATGACTAATAGTTTTAAGACTACGATTTTCGTTGGATTGTGTATCCTATCCTATGTTTGGATTGAGTTAGGAGTATAAGGAGAAATTAATAGTCCAGACTTTGGCTAAGGCCTCGTTTGGAAACAGGCTAATTTAGTAACTTTTTGGCTATTTGGTTAAAATATGAGCTAAAAAAAATAGACGTTTGGGATGATTTTTTGGCTTTTTACGAAAAGATGTGCAAAAAGTAGAGAGAAAAGAAAATCTTTGACTTTTTTGTATGGGTTGTTGGCTTTTTGGCTTTTTTAGTAACTTTTTGGCTTTTTGACTAAACCGGCATGTTGTCAAACGAGGCCTTAGTCTTCTAATTTATATCTCACCCCCTTCTGTGAGATTGAATAATCCATCATATGTGAGATACTATATTTCGATGAATTATTAATCCGTACTTGAATTGTTAATCCGTACTTCAATTGTTTAACCGAACATTGGATTAATAATTTTATTAGACTATTAATCCAATCCCAAACTCATGTCCACCCAAACAAACATGATTTATTACACTTTCTATGTTTAAATTATTATCAAATTATCTATTTAATTTCTAAACTATCAATTGAGTCTTCTAATTTCTTAAAGTATATGAATCAAAATCTATTTAGATCTTAAACTATCAATTGAATCTATTAAATTCTTAAAATATTTACCTGAAATCTATTTAGTTCCTAAAATAACTATTAAATTAAAATATATGCCCCGTAAGTATTATAAATTAGTAAAAGACCCTACCTAATAAAAAATTTATTACAATTTTTTTTCATTTTGTCTCTATTAAGTATTTTATTTCGTTGTGTGATTAAATTAATATTAAATTCTGATTTTTCAACCTTGCCAATAAAATTATATAAATATTAAATATACTGAAAAAGTAGAATTAGATAATTTAAATAATAACATTTTGCTAAAAATAATAATAGAAAAACTAATATATTAATTAAATTATAAAAAGAACTTAGTGAAAAACTTAAAAACCCTCAATTAATAATTATAAATGAAATCTAACATATAATATTAGATAAAGACAAACACATGTAGTCATTTTAGAAGATAAATAAGAAACTATTATAGATAATTACTCTTATTCTCATAAAAAAAATTCACCATAAGAGGTAACACTCACTTTTTATAGATAGAATAAAAATTTAAAGTTTTTTTGAAATAAAATTTTAATTAGATTAGGGACTTTTACCAATTTATACTATTTATGAGCTTATATTTTATTTTTGTAAGCTTTCAGGGATTAAATATGTTTGATTTAAATATATCTTACGGACTTAATAGATTCAATCGATAGTTTAGGAACTAAATAAATTTTAATTTATATACTTTGGGGACTTATTAGATTGACAATTTGACGATAATTTAGGGGTATAAAGTGTAATAAACCCATTGCACTAACCTTAAAATTTGAAGAAAAAAAAAGTCATAAAATTTTGACGTAAGTATATTAACTTTTCTTTTTACATGGCTAAATGGATCAAAATTAATGTAAAAACATAAAATAATTTAAGATGTAAGTTGTTGAGTAAAAGAAGTGGGAAGATCATTTTTTTATTCATGTAATTAATAAATTATTAATCAATATGAGACTAGTATTTCAATATAATTATATTAAAATTACATAATTTATTTTATATATATATATATATATATATGTGTATTTTAAATGATAAGGGACATGTATAATTTTCCCTAAGAGCATCTCCAATGTTAATTGTCATAATAGTATTGCTAAAATTATAATTTAACATGTTACAGTAGTAAAATGCTAAATTATAGTAATGGTGCTCCAATGGTGCAATGTCATTTCGGCATATTCCTACTTTTCTACATATTTTTTAAGTGGTGTTTGGATATAATTTTTTTAATAATTGTTTTGTTATGTTTTTTATTGCCTTTCATCATCTTTTTAAAACTTTTTTAAAAAAAAGATATTTACATTCTATCCGACTAGACAAATATAAAAAATTATAAAAAATATAAATGTAATTCAATTTACCATTCACATTCCACAACCAAATTAAAATAAATAAATAAATAAATAAATAATTTTTAAGTAATTTTTTATTTTTTTTTTGTCTTTTATGACCTTTTTAATTTTTTTTAAAAAATGATATATATTTAAACAACTAGACAAATATAGAAATTTTTAAAACTTAAAAATTTTGATTTTTTTTAAAATTATAATTCATCCACCATTCACTTATTTTAAAAAAAAATACTATCTATTTCAATAAAAAATAAATTAGGTAAATTATAAATATATCCCTGAGATTTTATTAAAATACGAATTACCTTTTGTGGTTTTGTAAATTACATTTCATCCCTCGATATTTCTAATTTCATAACAAATTATCTATTTTATTAATATATCATTAAGTCAATTAATAATTTTAATAATTTTATTATTATAGAGGAGAGCAATTATAAATTTTAATTTTTAAATTAATTGTGTTAGATATTTATAATCTTCTAAATCATAGTAGATAATTTATACTTTAAACAAATTCCTAGAAACATATTTATAATTTATTCAAAATAAATTAATGATAGTATAAAAATTAAATTACATTAATTACAAATATCTCTCTCTCTCTCTCTCTCTCTCTCCCCAGTCTCATCCCTCAGAGCAAACGAAGTGGTTGCTGCGAAACCCTAGCCACATACAGAGAATAAAGAGGAGTAGGAGAACCAAGGCAATTGCTGCGAAAATCCCAAGCATTTTCAGGTAATTTACTTTTTCTTCAAGCCACTCTATTCTCTTTGTCGAACGATCTCAACAGTAAAAAAAATCCCCAGGTTTAGAACTATTCAAACATTTTCAGGTAATTCCTTTTTCTCTCCTCTTTCCCGAACCACCCCACCGTAACCCTACAGTATTTGTGAACAATAAAAGCAATAATTGTTATTGTTCTTCCATTTCGTTATCTCAAGAGAAAAAAGAGAGGGGTTTCGTGATCTACACAAAATCATCAAAAAAGTAATCTTTTCCAGTTAATAGTTTTGCCTATCTCATAAGCATACATGTATAGTGTCAGTGTCTGTATATGTATGAAGTGCCTGTTCTTTTGCTAGGGTAGAGGGGCTGTTGTTGGCAGCCATTGAAACCTGAAGGAATTGAAAGATCAATCCAAAAAAATATTCAGAAACAAGAAGTCACTCACCAATCAGAAAAAATATTCCGAAATTATTGTACATTTTCAATTACATACTTCCGAATTAATTATAAATTTTTGATATTTTTAAATTAAATCGGTTCTGTAGTGCCGAATGTTTTACAAATTTTCAATACTTGATATCAGAATAGTTTATGCAAACAATGGATAGAGTGTAACAATGGAGTGTAGCAAGTAATGGAAAACAATAGAGGTAGTGAGAAACAATGTAGGAACTAAGTTTTAATTTTTGTTTTGTTTTTTTTTTTACAGATGTGCATGGGGAATTATTGTTTTTTAAAGATGTGTATAGAGAAAATCAAGAGTTAGTTTGTAGTGTGTATTAATGTCCATTATGGTCATTTTGCTTCATGATAAAAATGTCATAACTTATTTTTCATTAATTGTGTACACAAAAACAAAAAAGTGTGGAAATAGAGTTTCCCATAATAAACAGAGACTAGATCACATTCTTCATCACATTGTTTTCATCATTTTAATGGGTTGAGACTTGAAAGGGCCGAGAGACATGCCCTCTCAGTCTTCAAGGAATGTTTCTACTTCATTGTCATTGCTAGACATGTTAATACTTCTTAGGGGTTTACATTCTTTTCTTCAGTTCATCTTTGTTGAGATTCAAGTTCACCATTTGCATTATTTTTTTTGCCGTGCATTATTTTTATTAGCATATATATATATATTTATATTAATGAACAAGAACTTTTTTAGTGCAACTGTTTTATTTTCTAATAGGTTTCAGTGCTTGGAAACAAGTATAAATAGTTTCTTATATATATATATATATATTTTTTTTCTTTTCAGTTGTAATAAAATAGGTTGTTTACTTGGAAGTTTTGATGGCATGAGTGGAGTCGGAAAAAAATAAAATAAGGTATTCTTTGCTTCTCATTATCCTGTGTATATTTTCCTTATTTAATTAGATTGTTTTTTATATTATTTTTATTTAATGTTTTGTTCTCGTTTAAATGATTCAATCAATAGTTTCTCTACTCTTATAATAATATTGCATTTTACTTGGTAATTTGATGAAACATTTTTATTCGAGAAAAATAAAAAATCTAGTTAACATATTGTGTAGCTCATGTATTAATTTGGTTGGTATTTTCTTATTTTACCTTTTGTGGTTTTGGTGGTGGGTTAACTAACCGTTGGTTCTTGCACATTTTGGTTTGAAAACCTTTACCAGAAATTATCAGTAGAGTAATTACAATCCAGTGGGGATTTTTTAAAAAAGGCAATAGACGTGCAATGGTTTGTCACTCCATTATATCTACCATAGTTGTAGAGACCTACTGCGGCCTTTCCATCTTGCATGACAACTCAACATGCCATTTTTTTGGTTGTGCCCAACTGTTATAGTTGTGGGTAGTCAGTCATTTGATTGAATTTGTGCCTTCTCATCCTGCTTGGTTTCATATTGAACCTGTGAATTATTTATGACCGGCATTGATGGGTCGTTACACACAAAAAAATAAGCACTAAACTATACCAAATTCCTTAGAATAATAGTAAGTCCAGATATCGATCCACGGGGACAAATGTGAAATTAAATTAATGTAATTGTTAAATTCCTAAATTAATTCTGATCAAAGAGATGATTGTTTATAAACTAATGCTAATTAAAATACTAACAAATTAAACTAGCGATTAAAAATGAAATTGGGATTACTGATTTTGAAAAAATCTAGGGTAATGAATTTACCGCTAATTACATAAATAATGTTTCAATTTGAAAATCAATTATGTTATGGTTCGATCCAAATAATACTTCGCAACTACAAGTTCGAAGCATTGATCAAGAGAATTATCACGTTCAATGTATGGGCATGAACCATCTCAAGTAACGCGAGTCGTTTGCTCTAAACTTGGGTAGCAAAACGACTTGTCCTTGTAGTATGGTTAGTCTTTTACCTAGAATATGAAAGAATAGAAAACCATTGCATGGAAAGCATTCAACAATCACAGAAAGTAGAATACTTGAAGAAATAATGAAATATATATATATATATATAAACTTCTTGAATACCATACAACTTGTTTAAACCATTACATAATCAAAACCAAAAAAAAAAAACTTATTTACTTGGCTAAGGTTTCATCAAAATCTTAGAAATAGAAGCCTAGCCACTTATGGAGGGATGGGAAGAGGTGGAAGAAGATGAAACCCCCATGAAAGATATTCTTGAAGCTTGAAAATCCCCTTTTCCAAAGCCTAGCCCCTCCTCTCTTTTGGAATTTTCGGACCCCTAGAGTAGCATTCTTTTTTTCTTTTTATTCCTAGTAGAACAAACTTGAAATTTCCCGCACGCAACCCTAGGTGGGCCGCTCGAGCGCCCATACTTTCCGCTCGTGTGGTGGAGCCTGGTCGCACATGCGGTGAGGTGGCAGGTTGGGAATTTTCACTACTCGCACAGAGAATTTGCTTTTGTGCCACTTTTTGCTTGAATTTGCGTGTTGCCTGCCAAATTTGTACAAGTGCACAAAACACATCATCTCTACCAAATAAACAAAATTCAAAGATTATAAATGTAACTTAAACGGTCTTAATGTGGTACCTTTTGGCCTACATTCGAAATAAAAGCAATCTGGTGGTGTTCCGACAATGAGGATTTGAGTGATTTTGTGCATGCATGAGATATTTGATGAGTTCTGATATAATAGTTTCACATTTTTGGTTGCATCAGACACACCCTTGACGCAACCTTCTTCCGATGCCACCAACCCAATATGTGGAGTGTGCAACAACTTGAAGACTAGGGTCTGCTGGGTGTCTGCAACGTCACTGAACCAACATATCCTCGCATTGTGCGAGTATTTTATCAGAACATGTATATCAGTGATGAGGTCCTGGGAGCCCTTCTTTCCATTGTTGACTGGGTGGAGTTAGCGGTCACACCAGCTTTCATTGCTAAGGTTCGAAACTGCTCAATGGACACTATTAATGCAGAGCATTTCCTGGTATTCACTCGGGAACTCACAATCCCGGCACTAGTGACCGAATTCTATAAGAGGCAGTGGGATGATGACAACTGCACCAGCATCCATTGGGCTAACTTACTATGCTGCCTCCTCTTCCTTGATGTGGTTCTCAAGAAGAATGTCATACGTCTGCCACAACAAAGAGCGGCGAGGGGACTTCCTCCGCGCCTTGCATCGATTTGATTTTGGGTTTTGGGTCGACATTCCTTCATTGGTCTTCAACCAAATGGCCTGTATACTGAACGAAGTCAAATTGTGCACCACCCGAGGCGATTCTACACTGGCCCTCCATTTTGTCGATCTCATTACAACATTCATAAATGGCCAAGGGACTTATCCACTCTCGATCCCAATGAGGTTCAACTTCAGCCACCAATGCTCTACGCTAAAAGTTAGTGGCGCCAAATCGTTGCTCGCTTGCCGCCTTCAGTAGTCATCTCCGATGCACCGGCCAATCCTAATGATGTTCCGACCGAGCCCGTCGTCGCGCCTGCGCTACCGGCATTCCGCATGACACGCACGCAATATCAGGCTATTTTCGATAATTAAGCCGCCATTCAGCAATCCGTGGTTGACCTTCGGACAGACTATCAGGCATATCGGGATAACTCGCAGACGACATTCGACCAAGTTAATGCCCGTCAGCTCGAGTATCAGTAGTTAGTTGCATCTATGCAAACTGACTTCTACGCATACTAGGAGTCGAGCCAGCAGCGTTTTGATCAGCTTGACACTAGGGTTCATGATGAGGCATTTGAGACTCAGACATTGATGCATGCCTTATTTGAACAGTATTTTCCACCACTGTCGGATCCTAATAAGTGATATACGGTTTGTTTTCTTTGTTTTATTTCTTTATTTTTGTTTTGTTTTATTTTATATTATTTTTCTTTTCTTTTTATGCTGTATATAGTCAAAAAAAAAAAAAAACCGCTTGCATCTAAAGATCTCTTAAGATATTGCCGATTGGACAAACTTTTGAGAGCATTACTCTTGATACCATGGTATGGTACACCATACACGGGTGGTCGTTCTTCTGATCGAATTGGCATCAGGGCATTGGGATTAACTTTCCTCTCTATAGTGGGGATAAATGGAATGGTACCTTGCTTTGGTACCAAAATATTACGGCAATTCGGTCTCCTCCAAACTATTCTTTATGAAGGGCAAGTAGGGGAGGCGGACCGATTTTGTTTTGACTTTTGTTCCCAATGCAAGGATCAGAGACTTTTAGAGGCTCTTTGTAGTTGGAATAGTCGAGATTATGCCATTTGGGTTTTGGAGACAGTTTTTGATTGCCTAGGTGTGCATGGGTATAAAAACCATGTTGGTGTAACTTCAAAATCTAGTTCTAAAAGCACTTTTCAAAACTTCACTTTGTATCAATGTACAGTAACCTTGCAAATATACATATGCATACACACGCACACATCTTAATACCTTCTAAACAATGGTTTTCTCTTCTATTCTCGTTCTATATTTGCAACTTACCATTGATACAAACCCGAATGCCTCCTAATAACAATTGTTAGTAGCATTAGGGAAGAAAATAACTAAAATGAGAACACATCACATAAGATTGATACTAAAAAGAAGAGAAGAAAAAGATAAACTATGGACTACACTTGCAAAAGGTAAGATTTTTAATGTGAAAAATAATAAAATGAACTGAGTGCACCTACTTACCACTAGAGAGAGAGAAAGAGAGGGGTAACCTAATTAGGGAGTGAGGAGAAAAAGGGTTAATGAGAAACATTAAAAGCCGAAAACATTCAGAATTGAATTAGAATACTATTTTGCTGTAGTTTCCAGCATTCTATGAAGCATGGACACGGACACACGACACGACACGGACACACCGACACGCAAATTTTCAAAAAATGGGGGACACGACACGCTGAGGATACGTTCAATATATATAAATAATTTTATTTATTATATATCATAAAATTATTAAAAAAATCATTAAAACTGGTTCCTATAATCAAAATTAATAAACACATTATTAAAATTTACAAAATTAATCAACAAAAAAAAAATTTATACTCAAAACAAAAAAAAAATAAAATGAGACAGATAAAAAAAAATTGAGACAGAAACAAAAAAAAATTATATACTCAAACCAAAAAAAAAAATTATATACTCAGAGAAAAAAGAAAATATAAAATGAAATTAGGAAAAAAAAATAGATATATACCCACAGAGAGAAGAAAATATAAAATGAAATTAGGGAAAAAAAAATAGAAGAGAGAGAGAGAGACGGTAGTTAGTCACTCACCATATAAACGAAGAAATAAAATAAAAGAAAAAAAAAATGAGAGAGAGAGGGTGACTGAGAGTGAGAGAGAGACAGAGACAGAGACAGCGACTGAGAAGATCGAAGGAGAAGAAGAAGAAGAAGAAGAAGAAGATCGAAGCAGAAGAAGGAAGAAGAATGAAGAAGAGCAGCAGTGTACCTTAGATAACGAGCGACGGACGAGGAGCGACGAGCGACGGATGAGGAGTGACGAGCGACGACGAGTGACCAGGTCTTCTCTCCTTCTCTTCTATTCTCTTCTTTCTGTCTTTCTCTTCTATTCTCTTCTTTCGCTCTTTCTTGATTCAGGGCTGATTTTTTTTTATATTTGTGTTTTTACAAATTGACCCAAAGAAGTTTAATAAATTATGAAACGGACCCCAAACGTGTCCCGAAAGTGTCGGAACGTGTCCAGAACGTGTTCGGCTGCAAAAAAAAAAAATTTAAAAAATGGGACACTCTCTGTTGTGTGTCGGACACATGTCCACCGCGTGTCCGACGCATGTCCGTGTCTGACATGTGTTTGACACTGGTACGGAGGCTTCGGAGAGGTGTCCGTGCTTCATAGCCAGCATTTATATATATATATAGTTTCCTTCTTAATTATGAATTTTTAAAACAAATATTTTCCACATGTCTATTCTTGTTAATATAGCAAACTATAAACAAAAATGCTTCATACCACTAATTTTATGCCACTAAATAGATCACTAATGACGTGGTGCCCATGTGGAAAGACGTTGCTAACTCGCCTTTTTCTCTCTTTCTCTCATTGATTTCAAATTTCAAATTCATTTTCATTGTATACATTCATTTTCAGTCTCTCTCTCTTCTCGCTCCTTCCTTCGCTGAGCTCTCTTTGTCTCTCTATTCGCTGAGCTCCCCGACGATTGCAACTCTCCAACCTTGGCAACAATCGAGTCTGTCGCCAATGGAGCCTCCCTCAGTCACGATGATCGGCGGGCTGTTTTTGTCACTTCTCACGATGACGATGATCATGTCACTCATGACGATTGAGTCTCTCTCCGTCTTCTCGCCGGACTCGCTTCTCTCGACTCTCTGTCTTCTGTGGACAGATCTATCTTCTCGACAGGTCAGTTCTCTCTCTCTCTCTCTATATATATAGATCCGTCTTGAGATTTTTGTGACTTTGATTTTGATCTGATCTATTTAGGAGGATTTTGATTTTAATTTTGATTTTGATTTTGATTTGCCCTAATTTTACATTGGATTAGCTGTAGTGGTGGGCGCTGTGACTGATGATACTAGGGTTTATGAGGTTCCTCCAGTGGGACAGAACACTGTATTTGATTAATTCGGGATTATGACATTTTTTTAAACAATTAAATTGTTGTATTTTGTAAATGAATTTTTTCTTGCTAAGTATTTAAAATGATAAATTTCACTTTTTAGATTGTAGTTTGATCCAAATTTCACCTTAATTTGTATTATTTCAATTTAGACAATGTTAACTATTAGGCTGTGACAGATAATGCCCTATGAATTATTAGGTAATTGAGGATAAATGTATATAATTTTTTTTTTTTTGAATGTTTTACATTCTTACAATTAGGAGAAGAATAAGGGAAGATGACGCTGTATTGTTTAGCAACAAAAGTTCAATTCAAACATCACATTTGGTAAATGCATTGAATTTGGGGATATTGAACTCTTATTACTCAAATTACAACCCAGTGATTGCAGATGTCTTCTGGGATGCATTGCACTGGTTTGGTTATGATGAAACAAATGCTCATTTTGATTCTTTGACCTACATTACTGCATCTGTGATTAAGGTTGCATTCCAACCATTGGATCAAAAAAGTAGTTTGAAAATGAAATTAAATATTCTCATAATCGTGATTATGACCATTGCATCTGTGATTATGACCCTACCACACATATTTTCAGACTTTCATATCTGTAACCGTTAATTAAATGGTTCATTCTCAATAATCGTGAGGGCTAGCTTGAATGGCAAGTCCCCAGATAAATAATTAGGAGGTTTTAAGTTCGAGTCCGTATTTTGCCTGATATGTGAGACTAGCCAGTAGTCGTTCCACATATTAGGAATTTTATCCGGGGTGGGTCTCACTTAAGATCAACATCATGACGCTCCGAAATGTACTCTTTTTCATTTGAACACTTGAAATTAGGGTATCAGCTTGCTTTTTTGTTCTGACCAAGTAGTTGGCATTTCTCATAGTCTATTTTGTTGCAACTTCCATCAATAGTCCTTCTGAAATTGAGTTTATATGGAAATGGAGCTGGCAATCTTTGTAGAGAAATTTGAACTCCTTTGGCCTTTACTCTTGCAACTGAGTTTCTTTAGAAGGAAAATCATGTCTTCTATCTTCATACTTGAACCCAAACAATCTCAAACGGTATGTTAGGGACAAAGATCTATTGTATCTTCTGTGCATGTATATATTTATGGGACTGGATTAGGGGTGTATATGCACTGGATTAGTGTTTCAATTGTTGTTTCAAGAATTCAATTCACTTAAAATACACTGTTTTGTTTCAAGAATTCAAGATGTAAGAGAACAAAAATATGCATGACCTAATTGTGGAATGTGACCTTGAAAATTTTAGGATTAAGTGGTGTAGCTATTTAGAGTGACTCATTATCCAGATCATATTTTCAGACTTTTTAGCAAAGAAGAGGACAGCTGCTTATCCACCAGTGACTAGTGTGCTGACTTTTCCTGGAAAGAGCTAGTGCTTTACCAATTTGCACTTTTTAACATATCTTTCAATAGAAAAACTATTGTTCCAAAAAAATAATTTTAGCTATCTTGGAAAAGATCTAGAAAGGAGGCATAGAACATCAATAACTTAAAACTAATATGGTGTAATTTTGCAATTTTGGCTGTTGAATGATTAATTTAAACATAATGAAACTTAAAAGGTAAATGTTTAATGCATTTTAGTAATTCTCTTAAATATCTTATTGTGAATTTAAAGTTTCTATCGCAGTAAGTGTTTTAATACATTCCAAGATTATATTTGATACAAGTCTACCTAGTCATACCAATGATACCATGTTTATAAGCACATTGTACTCCATGTTCCTCTATTTGTTGTGCATATTGAGACAATCTCTAATTGATTGAGATTTGGCTTCATATTTTTGTAGATGTCAATTTCGTGTTAGCGGCAGTACCTCAGATCATTTGACATATTTGAACAAAAATTGTCCTAAATGTCGGAAAAAAGCAATTATTTGAATTTCTGAGACGGAGCGAAACAAAAAAAAGTTATTTTATTGTTGTCATGATTGCGGTGCTTTTCTTGGATGGTGCTTCCTTACAAATTCACAATGTACACATGAAAGACAAGTGCAAATGGACAATATAGCAACCGTCACCGAACAACTTCAAAGTATGGGAGAACACCTTTGATTTCAAAGCAACCAACTTCAATTTTAGAGCACGTAGATGCAAAAATTGCAGACATACATAAATCGAAGTTGGTGTTGTATTTGTGGGATCTTCTTTCTTGTAATTGGTGTTGTATTAGTTTTGAAGATGTAATAATTTATATGAAAGTTAGAAGTTGAAATCGATGATATGTATGACAGTTATTTTTGAGACGTATGAAGATGTAATCTGTTATCTGTTTGTCTGTTTGTCTGTTTGAAGAATGATTGAACACAGATTGTTATATGTTTGTTTGTTTCAAGAATGATTGAACACATGTTATATGTTTGTTTGAAGAATTTTTTGACACAGGTTGTTATATGTTTGTTTGTTTGAAGAAAATGATTGCACACAGGTTGTTACATGTTTGTTTGTTTGAAGAATGATTGAACACAGGTTGAAGATAGGTTTTTCAACATAGATTTTGAAGACAGATTTCTGGGCACAGATTTTGAACATCGATTTTTTCACACAGATTTCTAGACACATTTTGAACACAGTTTTTTGAAGATAGATTTTTTAACACATGTTTTTGAAGACAGTTTTTTGGACACAAGTTTTTGAACACAGATTTTTTGACACAGGTTTTTCAACATATATTTTGATGACAGGTTTTTCAACATAGATTTTTTTACGGATATTTAGAACACAGCTTTTTGAAGACAGATTTTTTAACATAGGTTTTTGAAGACAGATTTTTGGACAGGTTTTTGAACATAGATTTTTGGACATGTTTTTCAACGTGGATTTTGCAGACAGATTTTTGGACAGATATTTTAAACACAGATTTTGAAGATAGGTTTTTCAACATAGATTTTCAAGACAGGTTTTTCAACATAGATTTTTCAATAGATATTTTGAACATAGCTTTTGAACACAGATTTTTTCACACGTTTTTTAACACAGTTTTTGAAGACCAATCTATCAACATTTGTATAGAGTTAGACAACAAATATAACAACAAAGCAACATCAAATTTCTATAAATCTCATAAATTATGCTCCATCAAGTAATAAAGAAAGACGCATTAAATTACCTCCACCACAAAATGAACTCCAAGTTAAAATTAACGAAAGCGAGACTCATTTCGGTCCATTTGTAGATTGAAGTCAACAAAAGAAGATGGTAGGGCTCCATAAATTTGATTCGTAACACTCATGGATTATTGAGTTCGCATCATGTCAATAACTCCCGGTGTGCCTCCAATACATTCCGATGGGATAAGAGATGTGCTGACTTCATAAATCTGGATTGGAGCAGTCATCAAATTTTGTCTTCTCATAATGTCCATACTTCCGGATTTGCCTCCAATCGCATTTTCCATTTCTCCTTATTCAATTACAATGACATGAAAAAAATAGTTTACTATACATTATTGAGAAATAAAACAAACTGATCGATGTAAATTCATATTATGTACACGTACCGGCACATACATACTATTTTGCATGCCAACCATACAAGGATAAAGCTCTCTACGTGCACTAGGTTGAGGTTGAAATTGACCTTGAGCTCCAAGCACCTCAGTATCCTATTTTAACCAAGATGAATGAGTAGAGATAAATTATAAGATCAATAGAGAGAAATGATATAATATTGAAAAAATAAATAGAGAATATCATGAAATTTACCTTTGATTTGTTATGTTATGTTTTGTTTTGCTTGCTTTCAACCGATTAACTATTTGATCTACTTTGGCGACCTTTCGTTTCGTAACTGGACGACCTTTTCAGCGAGCAACCAAAGGACTAAGCAACTTCATATTACTGATTGCTTTTCTATTAATGCTCCTAATCGGGGAAGATGGTACATTACTAGTAATAGGTGGCATATTACTAGTAGAAGCTAGTACATTACTCCTACCACCCTCATCATCTTTCATCACTCTTGCCTTGATTTCATCCAACCCACGGTCGATAATTCTAATTTTGCCTTCAGAGTTCCCAGCTATTTGTACAATGTCAATCAATTTTTTGTTCATCTTATCATAAACCTTTGCATTGAAATCATTCCCAAAGCCAGTGTATGTGGTTTTGATGCATGTGTACTCTCTATCTAAATCTTTTCTCTATCGTGGTAGAATGAATTTATTTGGAATCTCATTTATGCATCTTGCAATGAGCACAACGAGTGAGTGAGCACACATGATACCCCTAAATTGAAACAATCGACACATACATTAAACATCAACTTCAGTCGAACTATAATACACAATAAAGTCCACATGCTTTATCTTCCCAAAAAACTACCACGGCTTTCTTCACAAAGTATGTGCAAATTGAACACTCCTCTTTCACAAGACACGGCTGACAATAAAGTAGTCTCTACATCTCTAGCTGCACTTCTTTGAATTTTGCATTGGTGTAGGCATCCTGAAATTGCTTCTCAAAACCATACACAGTTAGGCAATCAAACACTTTGTGTCGAGACTTGAAGTCAGCTTTCTTCTCTTTCTCTACCTTACTTCTCAAGGCATTTTCATATTGTTCAACAAGTTGCTTTAATGTAGTCTTCAGGTTGATATATCCATCAAAAAAGGCATTCATGCTCTCACTTCATTGTGTAGTTGACATGCCAGTCCAAAAAATGTCTTCACATAGACGGGAACCCATCGATGTCGCTCATCATATAGTACCTCCAACCATTGATTCTCATAAAGATTAAATTCTGCAATCATCTCTTTCCATCTTATCTCAAATTCATCTTTTGTGAAAATGTCATACACTGCATTTTGCAAAGCCAACTTCATGGATTCATATTGGGAATAGCCTTTCAATTTCTCCGAAATTTTCTTGATTATATGCCATAAACACCATCGATGTCGAGTATTTGGGAAGACAATTTCAATAGCATTTTGCATAGCTTTGCATTGATCAGTTATTATAGCTTTTGGAGGATGATCTGACATACAATTTAACCATGCTTTGAATAACCAAACAAATGTATCAGTGTCTTCACTAGATAACAACTCACAACCAAGCAAAATCGACTGTCTATGGTGGTTAACTCCTACAAACGGAGCAAATGGCATATCATATTTGTTAGTGAGATAAGTTGTATCAAATGAAACATCTCCAAATTCTTCATAAGCTTCCCGACTTATTGCATCTGCCCAAAACAAGTTTCTAATGCGAAAGTTAGTATCAACATCAATCATATAATAGAAACTTGAATTTTGTGTGTGATCCTCAAAAAGTATTTTTGAAGTGCATCGGCATCTCTTCTCGAAGCCTAAATCTTCTAGCTCTGTCAATGTAATTCCTTGCATCTCGCTCATCAAATGTTAATGACTCATAACCTCCAGCTTCAATAAAAATTGAGTTATAATTCCTAGACACCCCATTCCCTGCTTGATCATTAATTTCTAATCTTCTCTTCACAGGAGTAAGAATTTTCTTATTCATTGCAAAATGACATGAGTCGGTGGGAATCAAGTCATAATTATGGTCAAGGTTAACTGTGGTTAACATAAATCTCCCATCCTTTTGTAAGGTTGCTCGTACCCTTGCTTTGCAATCAATTTTTGTGGATAGAGATGGCTTTAGAGGGTTTACTTCTGATTTTTTGGTTCTCTTTCCTGATCGAGAACATTCAATCCCAAAATATCTTAATTCCCCATCATCGCCACAAACTTGGGTTTTATAAGCTATGGAAAATCCAACATGTTTAGCATATTTGGCATAAAATGTGTACACTTCTTGCTTTGAGCTAAAACACATACCTTTCTTAGGTTCCTCAACTTCTTCACTCTTATTTAATAAAGGATTTCCACCACTATTCGAATCAATCTCCATTTTTGCTCATTCAAAAATACCATATGAAATCAAATGATTTAATAGATTAATAGAATAATAGAATAACCTGTTAGTAATTTGTTCAAAAATTAATCATTATTGAGGTTGTTATGAATCTGTTAATAACAAATTATTATAATGATGCAAGCTATTCATAACAAATTATTCATATGTTTATATAATAGATTACAATAGATTTTGAATGTATGTATATATATATATATATTCATAACAGCTCTTGAATGTATGTTTATATATATATATATATTTCATTACAGAAGACAACTACAAATTTGGCCATTCCAGTGAGTGATTCTTTAAATAATAAACTTTCTTCATCAATTCCAAAACATTAGGAAATAGAACAAGAATGAACAGGGGTAACATCCTAGCTAGCACTTCAGTGATCAAATCTAATGTAAAAAGAAAAAAAAAAAAAGAAAATTTTGAAAAAATCTATTTGAACACAGATTTCCTATTGTGTGTGTGTATATATATATATATATATGTATAAGAACATTGAAACAGAGAACATAACATAGAAACACAAACTGACCTGGATGAGCATAGAAGTCCATGTCGGAGGAAGACGTCGGACAGTGAAGGAGGAAGAAGACGTCGGACGGTGGAGGAGAGTGATAGTGGATGCAAATTTGTAGATTTAGAGCGAGAGATGGAAGACGGAGGAGAGGCAGACAGCGAATGCCGGACGGTAGAGGAGGGAGAACACGCCGGACAGTGGATGAGAGGGATGGTGGAGGGGAGTTCTATAGCTAGTAGAGCTGGAATAGATCTTCAAAATGGAACATCAATACCTCTATTTTACTTTTGAGCGGGATTTCTATTTTTTTTTTTTTAACACAGTGCGTGAAAGACACGCACTGTATATGCAAATATTCTTCATCTTGCCTTGTTAGCTGCCACCTCCTTAATGGTGCTATTAGAGCTTCAGATTTAGTGCTCTAAATAGGAACTGAACTATAAAAAGCCCCATCCACTTTCTTTTTCGTTGCAGAGTCTGTTGAGCCAAAAATTGACATTTTCAGCTTAGGCGTCATCTTATTGCAATTAGTGACAAAAGAAACTGTACTCTTACAGAAATGAAAAACACTTGGAAGACATAATCAATGAAGAGCCTAAGTTGAAAAAGCTGATCGGACTGATCGATGAAAGTTTGCTAAGCTCGGGACATTAAAAGAAGAAAGGCAAGAAAACTATTAAATTAGCACTCAATTGTCTCCATGGCAATATAGATGCATCAGAAGTTGTTCAAAAATTGGATAATTTTTTTACAAAGAATAGGTTTACAAACAACCTCAAATGCATTACAATTCTATAAATTTCCTTACATGTAATTACTAGTCTTTGTGTAATGGCAACTAGGCTAGATCGTGTTAGTAAGGCTTTTATGACTCGA